CACACTAGCTGCATGACTCTATGTGAGGCACTTCTTAGAGCCTCAGTTTCTTCATCTGTAAAATGGAGACTGCTCTCAATAAGAGAATGCATGTAAAATGGCACTGGTCTACACACAAAGGTTCAGTAAGTGGCATGCATTGTTATGACTTGCCTTTTAGCACTCGAGCACCTCTCTTTGTGCTGGGGTGTGCGTTCCTGGGGCTGGTGCAGGTTCACGCCCAGGTCAGGCCCTGTCAGACAGAAGCCCTGTCTTCCTGCAGACCTCCCTGACATCCGCACTCCATTCCTCATCCGTCTCATCTCTCCTCCCAGACTTGTCTTCCTCTCTCCACCCCTCCTTCTTCTTTCTCTCTGAGCCCAGCTTCCTCCTCAGTGGCCCTCCGAGTCCCCACTGTGTCAGGCAATCCTTCTTGCCCCCGTCAACATCACCAATGCTCCTGGGACGATGCGAGGGGAAAGCCACTTGTCTCAACCAACCGCTCACCCCTCTGCATTTATGTCAGCCCATCCCCCCGGACCATCCTTCAATCCTCCCCTGCTCCATAGAAATCCCTCGCCAACTCCTAAATTCACATTGGCCAATGTGGTCGGCTTTTGCTGCTTGCATCCACGCTCCCTCTGTCTGAGGCTTCCACTCATAACGGGCTGATTTTCAGTCTGTGCTTACAGGCTCTGACCTTCCAGACCCCTGACCTTCAGGAGTCTGTCCTCGTCCCCTCATCAGTTTCTCAGGCCCAGCCTCACCCACGGGTCTGCGACAGACCTGAGCGCTGGCCTTGAGCTGTGCGGTCCTCGCAGCGCAGTTGGCCAGTCTGGTGGGTTTCCGGCCCTCTGAGACACGACCCTTCCCATCCTGTCTGGCTCTCTCTTTCCTTCTCGAGGCCAGTAGAACTAACAGAATCATAATCTTGCTTGAAAAGTCAGAAAAGCCCAGAATCCTCCAAAGAAGTAGCCACGTTCTCAGCATAGCATCAACTGTTGATAGAAATCGGACCAGGTGTGATCATCATCATGAAAATGTATGTGTATTGATTAACTTTTGCAAGATTCTATCAAGTAAATAATTGCAAAGACTTCAATAACTTGATAAATAAATAGTCACTAGAAGCAAAGACCTGAATGAAAAGAGTCCAGATCTCCCTAGTTTCTTAGGGAGGGGTTTTCCTTATTGTGGTTTTTACGCATTCACCTGTGAGAAATTGCTAAGCCACTTTCGGCTTTGCAGCTTTGCAGAAAAATGCCTTCCACGAGTCGGTTAACTCAGAAAGGTGGATTAAGGAGGGACTGGACAGCAATTCTCAGACCAGCCAAGGAATGCTCCCCATTTCCCCTCTGACCTGGTGACAATTCTCTCTGGGGAAAGCAACCCTCTCTTCTACACCAAGGTCTCTCAACCAAGGGACTACTGACATTGTGGGCCAGTATATTCCCTGGTCAAGGAGAGGGAAGGACTGTTCCGTGCACTGTATGTAGCTTGTTTAGCAGCATCCCCGGGGTCTACGCCCCAGATGCTTTTGAGCATCCTGGCCCTCATCATGACAATCCAAAATGTCTCCAGTCATTGCCAAATATCCCCTGGGGGAGAGCAAAGTCTGGCCCAGTCGAGAACCACTCTTCTACACACACATGTGCGCACACACAGTTCTTCCGGACACATCTGTTAGTCCAAGATCAGTGGTAGAAACACCCTGCAGGGAGGACAGGGCTCCAAGGGCCATTCCCTTAGCCCTTTGGTACCCTAGAGAGCTTAGCAAGTGGCTCCTAGTAGCAGCAAAAACTGGGAAAACCCTGCCGGCCAGTGAGGCTGCTGACTCATAGGGAACAGATCCTTTCCAAAGCCATACGTTTTGAGTTCAAGGATGCTGGAAAACAGGGGGTCAGGGAGGCAGGGGCCCACTGCCGAGACATGTGACCGTGTGAGGTGCAAGGACTGGATATACAGGTGTGGGCATCCACCACACCTGATCTTACCTGGGGAAGGCTCCCCTGCTTGTGGAAAGTTACTGGCAGAGGACTGGCCAATTGTGCTTAAAAACGAATCCCCTCGTGGATGAATTCACCTGGGCTGGTGCACACAATTCTGCCTGCAATCGGCATGAATGTCCTGACTCACAGTCATGCGGACCCTCACAGCAGGACCCTGGGCCATCTTCACGGGCCACTCTGAAGGACTAGCAGGGTTCAGGGCCATCCCAGGATTGTCAAATGCAAATCTCATCAGTCACCTCTCCGCAAGTATTGAGCCCATCCTGTAGGTCCTTGCTACAAGTGTCATCCACAGCCCAGCCGGGTGCTTGTTAGAAATGACTCTCAAGGCCCTGCCCCAGAACTTGTGAACCCGAGTCCACACTTCAGCAAACTCCCCAGGTGATGTCTGTGGACACTGACGTTGAGAAGCCCTGATGGAAATAACAGGAGGGGGAGAAGATCTTCCCTCAAAGAGTGCACACTCCAGCTGGGAAGATGTGACTCCAGATATGAAACAATGGAGCAGGGTTCAAGTCTACGTCAAGCATGTTTTGGCAGGAAACTTGGATACAGAAGACCAAGAATCAGTCCTGCCTCAGCCACTTACTTCCACTGAGCCTCAATTTCCTCATCTGTAAAGTGGGGACAACACTTTCCTCATCTACGTTACAAGATTGTCCTAAAGATCAAAAAAGATACTACGCTGATATAAGGTACCATTTTTAATGTTCTGTACTCTGAACACTACAAAAGTTCAGACAGGGCCGGGCGCGGTGGCTCACGCCTGTAATCCTAGCACTCTGGGAGGCCGAGGCGGGCGGATTGTTTGAGCTCAGGGGTTCAAGACCAGCCCGAGCAAGAGTGAGACCCCGTCTCTACTAAAAATAGAAAGAAATTAATTGGACAACTAAAAATATATAGAAAAAACTAGCCAGGCATGGTGGCACATGCCTGTAGTCCCAGCTACTTGGGAGGCTGAGGCAGGAGGATCGCTTGAGCCCAGGAGTTTGAGGTTGCTGTGAGCTAGGATGATGCCACGGCACTCATTCTAGCCCGGGCAACATAGTGAGACTCTGTCTCAAAAAAAAAAAAAAAAGTTCAGACAGGAGAGCACTCGGGATGACTGGACTGGTCTGGGAAGAGGCAGGGGGTGTGGGAACTGAAACTATTGAATCATACACTGAACCAGGCACTGGAGTAAAGCAAGATGCAAAAACGCATATTTTGACTCTTGCACCCAACTCAGCCACTAGCCTGGGCCACGAGGAGCTGCCACTGACCTACTTTCACCACCTGACTCCTGACAGTCTATGGAAGGTCAACATCGTGAGTCTCAGAAATACCCTCAAAGCTCATGGGTGCTTCGCAGAAGACACAAAGCAAGCATGTGTGGTCTCTGTGGCAAGGCTGGCAAGAAGCCCAATTACTGCAACGCTTAACTCTGCTTTGGGGTATAGGAGAATGGACTTTTTGTCATTTTGCAGAGCTGACCTGTGAGGTTGGCTAGACACTGCAAGAGGATGCCTGGAGAAGGGGGAGGTAACGGAAATTAGCAAGTGCATTCTTGGGTGATTTCCTAGATAATGTTTATAAGCCTTTGCTATGTGCTCTGTTTTCACACAGGTTGTTTTTTTCATTTAATCTTCACTACGATCCTATGAGGCAGGATTCTTGTCCCCACTTCACAGATAAGGAAACTGGAGACTTAGGATTTGAACCCAGGTTGGACTGCTTTGCAAAGCCCATGACCTTAACTGCAAGCTGAATCGCTAGGGTTGTCTGAGAATCTCTGGTCTTCCTCGTGCGGCTGAGACAATGTGGCTGTACTTTTGTTGTGAAAACTGGCTCTCCCCGACTGGCTGACGTTTGCCATGCTTGTCCTGAGCTTCTCCAGAGAAATGCTGTCTTCTGGCAGGAAAAGATAAAAACGGCTGATATAAATGAGTCACCACACTCGCTATAATTAACAGTGATGCAAGAGCCAGATGCAAAATAAGAAGGGCCTCCGGACCTGACTTTTAGGCTGCCCAAGCTTTGCGCTGCACTTCAGTGCAGAAAAGAGTCTCTGTGGCTGGGCTTCCGTCTCCTTGAGACATATTTAAAATAAAGAACTGAAACCTGGAGTACATGCAAGCTCCACGATAACAGAGCTGAGAGGGGCGGCACTGAATTAATCTCCTTATTTACAATTGAAAAACCATACACCAGAACCAGAAAGAAAGTTTATAGTTTTTAGATAATATAGATCTTTGCTTTCACACTCAGCTGCCCTAGAGAGTCTAAGCAGTTTTCAACCTGCTGAGCTGATTTATGGCAACTACAGTTGTAAATTCAATTGTACTAGGTGTTCAGCCCATGCCCTTCTGATCGCAGTGATGTATCTGTCAACTTTTCAGAAAGACCAACCATTAGCATCTCTCTATTCTCTCTTGCTGATCTGAAATAAGAAGCGATGCAGTGATAACCCGATTAAAATAAACCCTACACGCCTGTAATCCTAGCACTTTGGGAGACCAAGGTGGGAGGATGGCTTGGGACGAGGAGTTCAAGACCAGCCTGAGCAACATAGCAAGATCCCGTCTCTACAAAAGTTGGAAAAATTAGCCAGGCATGGTGGTGTGCACCTAAAGTCCTAGCTACTTGAGAGGCTGAGGCAGGAAGATCACTTAAGCCCAGGAGTTTGAGGTTGCAGTGAGCTATGATGATGCCACTGCACTCTAGCCCGGATGGCAGAGCAAGACCCTATCTCAAAAGAAATAAATAAACCCTAAAGCACAATTCCTACAATACTATCCACAAACCCCATCCGACCACAGCATGAAATCGTTTTATAATACAAGGAGGAGGCAGCCCTTTTCTGCTGCTTCTAGGACAGATAATTCCACCCTGAGGTTTGACAGAGAGAAATAAATTGTGGTCGTTGCCTGGATGGGCTCAGCCATCAATGTCAGTGGCATCTTCTTGCCTGTTTAAAAGAGACTCAAATGGCCGTGAGATTTAAACACAATACAGCTGATGGAATCTTGCCACTTTCCTTTTGAATAGACTTTAATTGAGAGCAAAGTGAAAATGAAGGTTACATTTTTAGTGTTATCACCAATACCTTGTAAGATCAACACCCCAACAGTGATGCATCTAACATTTATACATTTCCTAATTTTAGTTGTTGTCAAAGAGCAAATCATTGTCAGATACATATATTTACACAATAATTTCAAGCAACAGTAAATAATAAACTCCCTCCCTTAGAAAAACAAAACACAGCGCGCACACACACACATACACCCAACCACCTTTAAAACAATGGATTTCCTCACACTAGTAAGTCTCATTTTTTTCACATACACTTGTAGACCCAAAGTTACTTAAGTTACTAAAGAACAGTCTTATCACAGGAGATCCTGGACCAGCCCCTATTTTCTTTTAAAGTCACTTTAATTTTTACAACTTGAAGCCACATAACCAGCGTGGTCTGTACACTCTAAGGACACCCCAAATGATGAGAATGAATTCCACTTCCTTTGTGTGAGGAGATATGTACATCTCTGAAGACACATCCGATTATAACTCAGAAAAAGTCAAAAACACAAAAATAAAATCTCAGATCTTCAAATACAGTTTCTTAAGAGCATTGTGCTAATGTTAACATTAAATTCACTAAATGGTAACGTTCTTTTAGATTTCTATACAGAGGTACTGGTTAGTTCAGATTCTTTTTTCAGCTGCGTGAACACATGCGCTTTGAAAGTTGCCTGGTAGAACTACATCCTGCCTTCCAGGTTAGCAGCCTGCCTGACCTCCGGAATGTTAGACACAAGTCACCCCCAATGCCTTGCCCTCTGATTTATTTCTTGCTGTTGCTATTAGTAAATGGAAACCATGACAAAGTTTACATTAGCAGACACATACACATGCCCTGGCCTATAAATATTCCATGATGGAAAATGGTACAATAACTCCATTCCTAGTGAAAACGAGCATAAAAGGAGAAGGGGAGGGTGAGGGGAGATTATCAACAACGGCTCTTCTTACAGTGGAAAATCCTGACCAAATGACAATGGGCTTTTAACTAACCGGGTGCTGCTAGCCGCTTCTCCAGGGCCCGTGAGTCAACTACAAGTCGGCAAAGCAGAGACCACCTTCTCAGGGCAAACCTGGTAGGATCCAGTCGCATAGGTATCTCGTCTTGGAAGTCGGACGAAGAAGATCAACTGCAGTTTCCTTCTTAGAGAGGTGAGTGACGAGGAATTTGAGAGCAGTTCACACACTGTCCTGCCTGGGACACGGAGCTGTCCCTGGGTGAGACCCCTCAAAGCGCCAGCTGGAGTTTGGTCATGTTTCTCTGGTGCATGTTGTGATGACGGACTAATTCATCTGACCGGGCAAACTTTTTCTGACAACTGGGCCACCGACAGCTGAAGGGCTTTTCACCTGTTGACACAATTGCCAGTCAGGGACACTCGCAGCGGAGAGACTGGGCACAAGTTCAACTAGCAAAGGCCCTTGCTACGTCACCACAATGCATCCACTCTGGATTCCCCACAGTTCTTTCCCTAAATGAATCAACTGGGCTCATTTCTCAGGCAGCCTTGAAATGGCAGCACCTCTGCGGGCTTTGAGAATTGAAATGTTGGAAAAATTACAAAATTATCTTAGGTGAGAAGACTTGGAAAATGGGAGAGAAGGAATTAAGTCCAGTTAGTGGAAATGTCTGGCCAATTCATATTTAATTAAGGGGAAAAATATTTGTTCCAACCTCTGCTGATGGAGTGTTTTGTGAACTGTGTACATTTTTCACCTCTGCTGTCTAAGTAGGGAACTGGGCTTAACTGGGCTGCAAGAGCCTCCGGATCATCACCCTGGACATTACTGAGTGACCACTGTCTAGCAGTACAGCTGTGACTGTGGCTTTAGCATCTCCATCTGTGTAGACATTCTGGATGGGCTGAATATTTTTAAATAAATCACTGATACCAGTTTGCATGTTTTTTTTTTTTAATCCTAAAGTGTTACTGAGAGCATAATCCGTTATACGGAAGATTCTAGTTGAGGCATGGTTCTGAGATTTTTAACAAGCTTACTGAAAGATTGAGGCTTCCCCATCTAAGGAGCACCTCAGAAGTTCTTTCCAAGCCTCATTCTCATTAGGGACGGTAATTAGCATTTATTCAATGTTTAATATGCCAAGCCTTGTTCTGAGCCTTGTACACACATACACACATACACACACACACACACATACACACACACACAAGCATTGCTTCATGTATTCCTTACAACAGCCCCATAAGGGAAGCATTAGCACCCCCACTCTACAGATGAGGTTGGACATCTGGGAAGCGCAGACCCAGGCAGGACCCAAATCCAGATTTGTCTAATTCTAAAGCCTGTGCTCCTTCCTGTATCACAGCTCCCGGCATAGCCATAATGGAAATACAGCTGTGGCTTTATCCTAAAGAAAATGCCGCAGGAGCCAATCCCTGTGCCACCTGATGGTTCTTCTTGGGATATTGCTGGTCCCTCTTTGCTTCCTATGAGAACTACTGGTTGGGACAAACAGTGAGAAATGTCCCAGGAGGGTTGCTGTTCCAAGGTCAGACTGGGGCCCAATCAAATACAGCGTTCAACAACAGTCTGCTGGTGACACAGGTCACTGCACACATACTTGGAAGGATGGAGGGGTGGTGTACATGGGACCATAACTCTTTGCCACCAAACTGTGAGCTCAGGACTAAGTCAAAGAAGTGGCATCAAAAGCATCAAAAGCACAAGATGCCCATCTCACCAACTCTGGGGCACAGGTGCCTTGGCTCTGTCTTTAAGCGCGGCCTGTTTGGGCTGAGATCTGGGACTGCCCAGGGTCTTGTGATGTCATCCTTTCCTTCAGTTCCCACTCACAGCTCCTCTGCTCTTCCTGGTCTGGCTCCTGTTCCCCACCCCACCTCCAACTGCACTGTCAAAGACCAGCTCCTGATGGACGAATCCCAGCCCTTTCTCCTCTCAGTCCTCGGTGGTACCCGGCCTTGCTGACCTGGATTGTCTTCTTGATGCTCTGTCCTCCCTGGAGCGCTCAGTGAACCCAGGCTCCTTCTCCAGTGCAGGAGGCAATGGGACAAGGTGAGCTGGGAGCAGATGGAGCTGGCTTTGCTGCTTACTACCTTTGTGACTTTAGACAAGTCATTTAATCACTACGTGCCTCAGTTTCCTCAGCAATAAAATGGAGATAAAGCATGCCTACCTCACTCTTCTTACAAGGATGTTGTGAAGATTAAGTGAGATAACCTTTCTCCTTCCAAAGGTAGAAAATACGCAACAAAGGCAGTGCTGTTTTCACTGAGTCACACCAGCCTTGCAGAAAAGCAAAAACCTTCAGCGGCCAGATCTGTGTCCTGTTGCCCCCTCTATACGAGCACGAAGGAAATGATCTCCAGGTCTGATATAAGTCTGGCAGAAACCAAGACTGCTCCTGGGGCATGAAGCTTCAGCAGAGCAAGGACTCAGCTCTCCTGAAAATAGTGTGCTGAAACAGGAGCTCTCAGAAGAATAAACGGTTGGCCATGCTAGAATTTCTGCTGTTTGTGAGGTTGATTATCACGTCAGAGTGACAAGAATGTGATGTAACACATTGGAAACGGTAGGGACCTCGTTTATCTCTTAGTTTTCGGTCTGGACACTCAGGACATTCTTTTCACCTCCCTCTCCTGTATTTCCCACCTCCCCTCCTTCAAAAATGTTATAACTTATTATTTAGAGATGGCCATGCACTGTTCTTTCTCTCAACTGAGTCTAAACCGTGGAACTTTTACACTAGACTTCTCCAATCTCTCTCATCACAGACAACTTCATTCAACAGTCGTTTTAAAAAAATAATGAAAAATAAATGTGAAGAAAAGTTTACGCACTTGTTTTACCTGTATGAGTCCTGGTGTGGGTCTTCAGGTGGTCGGACCGGGAGAACTTTCGCTGACAAGTTTTACACTGGAATGGTTTCACACCTAAACGGACAGAGAAGGTCTAGCCTCGGCCCTAATAACGCGGGGCACAGCGAGCCCCACGAGGCTAGCTCCTGGCAGCTGGAAGAGCCCGGCATTTCCAGCCACGTCGGCAACATCTGCCTCACCAACGTCTGCCTCGCCCTCGGATTTCCCCAGCACCCCAGGCCCAGCAGGAACCACCTGATCCTGCACAGCGAGCTTCAAGGACCTGCTTCTGTCTTGGGAACAACCATTCCTTAACCACAGAAGTCCAGCTTCTCACCAGCTGGAAGGTCTCAGCTGTGTCAGAGACAGAAAAAGTGAATCACACCCTACAGATCGGATTCCGCCCTCCATCACCCTTGGCCTTTGCCGATAGTCAGTGTATCATCAGCCCGTTGCTAGTGGGATCACATTGCTCTGTGGTTTGCAGGAGAAATGTGGGATGTTTCCTTTTCTTTCCTTTCTTTCTGTTTTTTTTAAAAAAGAAGGAAAATTCCCAGAGATTAGAGGAAAAAATTATTGGAAAAACCAAACACATGTCTGACCCTCTCATCCATATTCCACAACAAAGAGAATGAGGAAATCAACCCTTCCCCAAGGGAACGTGACTGCCAGCAATGAGAAGTGAACCTACAAACCTGTGTGTCTCCTCTGGTGTCTTTTGAGCTGGTCTGAACGAGAAAACCTTCGCTCACAGTCCTTGAAGTCACACTGGTATGGTTTCTCACCTTGGGGAAGACACATACGCTATTTGAAACGATACTGGAAATGGGGATCTCATTAAAGGCCACCTCTCCTACTGGGACCGAAGGGACCCCGAAGTGCCTAAGGCACTTCAGCGATGCCTGTTCGAGTAGCTGGTCCTGTGACTTAGGAATAAACGAAGGTTCGGGTGTCGAAGTCTGACTGCAGGGTCACATCCAGCTCCGGCACTTAAAATGCTGGGTGAGGAGCGTTTCCTTATTGTGAAACGGGCCCAGTAATCTGCCGGCTTCAAAGGATACAGACAGATCAGACCAGACCATCGTGTAAAGGGCTCAGCTCCGTGTCCCACACAGAGGAAATGCTCAAAAAACATTATCAGGGCATATTTAGGCAAATAAAAACCAAAACCTTTAACTCCTAGGCTGAGTCTGAGGCAGGATTCTGGGATTTTTGTGCCTTGAGGCCAACCCCATAAAATAAGTGTTTTATGGCCCAAAGATTTGGTGTTGTCTGCCACTGATTTCTCATTCTGGAGTCAAGTATAAATGACTCCATGGTTCTGAGCACTCAAGTTAAACCAGAAGCCAAAGCATTTAGATAGTTTTCGGTATCCTTTACACAAGAGAAATTACACAACGTCCTGCCGCAGAGTGGAGAAGCCCCACCCCATCCTCGCTAGAAGAAGTTCGGCCAAATACTAGGCTCTGAGCCCCATGAGTGTCCTGAGCAACTGTGGACCTTCCCGCCTTCTTAGGAGAATCCCGAGTCACCGGCATTCTGGGACAGACAGCAAGCCGTCCCAGGATCAGTCGGGTCTTGCTGTTGCAGGGCACAGCCCAGTTACCTTTCCAGCCTTAAAACTCCTGCTACTTCCCTTGATCGGTCCATATTCCCAGATCTTACCCCAGAGCTCACCATTCTTCCCAAAGCCCTCCTTGCACTCCACTCACACAAAATGCCCTTCGTCTCTACCTCCAACCAAAAAGTCCACCATATGTCCCTCACAAATGCCACTTCCTCTGCAATGCCTGCTTGGAAGCTGCATCTTCAGATTTAAAGCCCTTCCTTCATTACAGAATGTATTCCAGAACATTCTGTAACATTCATCTAATGTGGTGAGCCGTGTCCAGGTCTACATTCTTCCACAGGCTGGAAAACTCTGAAGGCAGGACCCTTTTCTTAACTTCATATTTATATCCCACCCAGTGTCTTACGCCTCACTTCTGCAACCTGGAGAAGACAACATCCCTCTTCAGTCTGATTCTTTCCCCTGACTTTGAGTGTCTGCCCATCCTTTACTTTCTCTGCTTAGCATTTCCAGCCTCTGATGGTTAACTTAAGCCCTTCCTCCTCCAAGAAACCTTCTCAGAGCTCAAACCAATGTCCCCCAAACTCCTCAGCTCCTCTGGTCTCTGATTTAGTACACAATCACACACTCTCTCAGTCCCTTTTCATTTGCGTATATCCTCACACCAAAACAGACCTTTGACATCTTTGAGTAGGGGGACTGTGACTTGGAGTTAAAAGGCAGGGGTTTGAGTCCTGCTTCCACTATATCCTACCCTCTTGGTAATTGCTTTTTGTGTGTGGATTAAATGAAATAATACATATAGAGAGCCCGGCATGTAAAAAGTATAATAGTCTGTGTGGTTATAATAAGTAAGAAAATATTGCACTCTTTCAAGTAGAGGATGTAGGATTACTAGATACCAACCTGTCCTCCTCATCTGCTGCAAGGAAGAGCTTCCAGAGGGTCTGGGCTTTGGCTGTCCTGTTCACAGCCTTCCCTTCACATAGTTGTCTAACTGCACTGTGTTCTAAGTGCTCTTTCCCATTGCAAAGCTTCTACAACTGTATTGCCTGCAATGTGCTCCCCTGCATTTTTCCAGGCACAATTTTACTTTATCATTTTCCTTATAACCTTGATAGACACTTTTCAAATGATCCCATGTGAGAAAATATGTAAAAACAGAACACGCCACTGGTTCTCTCATCTTTAGCCTCAAAGTCTGTGGTCCACTGAGCGCAAACTCGGCATGACGCCAGAATTGCATCCTCCAGACACAACGAAGCAGCAAAGTCCAGTGGCCTAAAGAGATCTGAATGGACCTCACTTTCTTCTCCAGCTTCCCAGCAGCAAAGTCAGCAGTGATAATAAAATCGTAATAGTGATCATAACCATAAAGCTATCCTTCAGTTATGGAAAGAACAGCACCAGCTCCTCTGTGAGAAAGCCTGGAATTGTTCCCCTGTAGGGGAGATCCAGCCACACTCCCACCTAGTGCCCACACGGCCAAAAGCAGACATTTGTTAAACGGCTGTTCACATGCCAGGTGGCCAACAACCAGACAGGGCCAAAATTCTCTCTTTCCCAGAAGCAGAGTCCTTGACCTGGGGGGAAATTCAGTTTCACTGACATATTTTCAAAAATCATCATCTCTCTTTTTTTTTTAAAACAATGATGACAAAGAGTAAACCTACAATCCATTTTCCCATTCCTGCCTTGTTGGTTATTACTAAGCCAAGCAATTAAGTTTTTCCCTGGATCATCTCTTTTGAGTGTGACAATGACCTTGTTCAGTAACCTCTCAAAACCACCTGATTGCCATATTCCCGGGCTAGCTCCTCTCTCTTTAGAAGTACTAATAGTATTTCTAATGGTTACATGATTCAAACACAGGTCTCTAATTCTGTAGCATTCTCTTTCTACCAATCTGCTCTGCCCTTCCTGAAGACGATTTACTGACCTCTTTAATGAAGGATGAACAATCAGGATGCAAAACGGCCCTGCAGCTGTCTTCCACCACCCCAGCCAGACCTTTCATGGCAGGGCCTTCTTTCCATCCCAGAAATCACCAGTGTCCTTAGCAACCTGAGAGCCCGGAGAAGGAGTGCTTAAACCATCCTTGCCCACAGCAGGGCAGTGGACACACTTACCAGTGTGCTTCCTGCTGTGCATCTGTAAGTGGGACAGCTTGAAATATCTCTTATTGCAGCCTGGGTAAGCACACATGAAGGGGCGTTTCTCACTGGTCTCAGATGCCGACCGGACAAGAGTTGGCGCTACTCCAGGTACGCGCCGCACGTCCTGCAGGCAGAGTGCAAGAGGAATTAGAGGCTTTAAGCCACATGTGAACATTCATGCTGGTCCTGAGGGAAAGTGAGCATTGGCATATACCCAAAGAACGGATGGCAGGTACAGACCTAAAATCACTCCCATCCACACCCCAGATGCCCATGGCAGACATCACTAATGGATGCTAGATCAGGACATTCTACAATGCCATGCTCTCACATCATCACTACTGATCAACCAGAACTGGTACTTGAAATGGAGTCTATTTGAAGTCGCTGACCCAGGGCCTCTGGAAAAGAAATGATGGTGAGTGGAAGAGCTCCCAATCCATCTTGCCTCTCAGCTTCTCCATTTGAGGTAGTGAGGTCTGGAAGTCCAAACTCCCAGAGTCTATCTATTCCCTTCCACTGGAAGATATAACGACATGACCCTGGGTCCAATTTGCAATGGGTGGGGAAGTCCTTATTAGAGCAAAACGTGGGATACTGCACAAGCCCCAAACTGACCAGACCTTCCATGTGTAAGTAAATGACAAGGAAGAAGCAGCTCCTCCTTCATTTGGGGGTCCTCTCTGTGAAGGGAAGCCAACCTCACCAGAAGCCCGTGGTGTAGCCAGTACAACCTCTGCCCATGCTTATGCTCTAGTCCCTATTCATACTGCCTTGCACTGAGAGGTCACTTTCTTTTCTGGAAGAAAAAGTGCTGTAGTGACATACAAGGCTGGTGTTGATAGGCCATACTGTCTCAGGGCAAATGGTGGCATAAAAGTAAATGTCAAGCCAGCTGTTTTGTATAATCAACACCTGTCTGAGTTGGAGTTTATCAGAGGCCATGGCAGTGGGTCTGTCAAACTGGGCTTAGGGGAAAAGAAGGCAAAGGAATCACTTTTCATTTCCCTTAATTTATCCTACATGCAGTGCACACAGGAAGAGGATATAAAACTGAGTTGTTAATGTCAGTCAGGGTCCTGGTGAAGGATTCTGATGTTATTTGTTGGGGGAGAGATTTGATGACTCCTCCTGAACCTCGTCAGATTTCCATATTTCTGCAACCTTTGCCTTTATTTCTCACCATTGGGAGGCTTGGGATGAGGAGCACACTGTTCTATGACACTTTGACACTTCTGGAAACATCAATCAGAACATCTCAGAGCTGCCTGCCCCACATATCACACGGGGCCTGGTCCACACACAACTTATTTCTAGGGCACTGACTACGCTGGTGCCAGTATCACAGCTATTACTCACGGCGCAGCCAGCCATGGAGTCCCGTTTATAAGTCACAAATGCAAACCCTTGGTAACTGCGTGTGGTTCTGACCACCCAAAAGAGGCTCTGCGGAGGTAGTAGACCGAAGGGGGTATTTAATGAATTCCCTGCAACTTTTACCTTTCTTCTTTACTTTCTTCACTCTCCTCAGAGACTCCCCGCTCCCCCAGCCCTCTGCCTCCCTGAGAGCAGTACGACACGGTGGTTAAAAACAGGGGTTCTGGAGTCAGACAAGACCTGTGTTGTAAGTCTCAGGTCCACCACTTACTAGCTATGTGATTTTAAACAAATTACTCCTTCCCCTTCTCTGGGCTTCAGTTTCCCAATCCATCAAATGGAGATAATATCAACAGCAGTACCTACCCCATAAGGGTGTACACAGGATGAAATGAAGGGAAATGGGCTGCATTTGGACATGTAGAAACCTTAAATGCATAGTGCTAAGTGAAAGAAGTCAGTCTGAAAAGGCTACATAGAGCGTGATTCCAACTACATGACGTTCTGAAAAAAGATCAGGGGTGTTGAGGGGAAGAGGAGGGGGGAAGGGACGAATAGGTGGAGTACAGGGCAATTTCAGGGCAGTGAAACAATTCTGGGTGAAACTATAATAATAGATACATGGCATTATACATTTTTCAAAACCCACAGGAAAACACAAGAAGTGACCCCCAAACTTTGGACTTTAGTTAACAATAACATATCAACATTGGCTCATCGATTGTAACAAATGTACCACACCAACGCAAAACACTAATAACAGGAAACTATGTCAGGGGTGGGGGGGTATGGGAACTCTGTACTTTTTGTGCAGTTCTTCTACAAACCTAAAACTTCTCTAAAATCTAAAGTCCATTTTTTTTTAAAAGTCTGCATATAAAACTTAGCACAATGTCTGGCATGTAGAAAATGCCCAGCCATAGGTGGCAGAGTTAGTATTGTTATTATTATCAACCCTTGGCATGGCAGAGTCTACCTTTGAGTGCTTTATGATGCAGGCCAAATCTTAGAAGTCAAGGGTCCAGGAGGTTAATTCAAGCCCAATTAGCCCAAATACAAGAACTACACATGCACGCAGCCCACCCTAGAGAAGGCAAGTTGAGCAGTCAAGGAGGAAATGGCAGGATTCTGCAGCCGGGAAGCGGCATCTCTGGGAGGGAGGAAGCTGACTTATCCTACCCAGTGGGAGAGGAGGGGTCCTGGTGTCAAAAGAGATTATAATTAATTAAGAACAGACTTGCCGGGGCCAAAGGTCCCCCAGCGAGGTCCTGGACCAGGAAAAGAGGCAGTGAGGCCCGCTTCTAGCTGGGGCACCTCCGAGTACTCACCTGAATGCCTCTGAAGACGCCGTGGGTGTGTATCCGGTACTGGGCGCCGCAAAGGATGGGTGTTGTGTGGTTGTCGCTCTCGTACCCTGTGCCGTGGCTACGAACACAAAGAAGGGAGAACAAGTCTCAGGTTGGTTCCCAGCCGCCATTTGGAAATGCTCATCTGCAGTCAGGAGGGAATGGTTTTTTTAAAGCTCACAGGACAAAAATAGTTGGCTTTTGCCTCCCTCCATGGAGCTACTCTGAGGAGGGTGACGCGGCTCAGTCCTCAGGTCACCTCCGTGCGGCCCTCTCTCTCCCTGAGACTCTTGCAGGCGCACCGGCTGGGTCTACGCCTCACTCAGACAAGCCAGGAAAAGCCGCAGTGGCAGGACTTCACCCCAGCAAGTTGTTCGCTATCTGAATGGCAGAGTGGACAGCTGCAAATATCTCAGGAATGAGCAGAATGCCTCAAGTTTCATGTTAAGTGCACTGGATTTTTGTCAGCACCTCATGACTCAGTTTTTACCAGATAGCACCAAAAAAGTGATGACACTTACAAGAAGAGATGTCACGTCCTCAGAAGTAGGGATTACACGTCTATGGTCCCACTTGGCTTAACGTAGAGATCAGTTTCCCAGATGAACTGAACTCTTTGTAGCCACCCTGTGCCACAGGTGAGCACTGGATAATATTCCTCCAACATTAGACTGACTAGTCCCCTAGTCGGTGCTCGGGTTAACCTTGGAATATTAGTGAGAGCTTGAAAGATGTGGAACGTTGGACAGGACAGTCTGGAAGGGGTGGATGTTCTTGCCTTTAGGTACAATGCTGGTATCTGCTCTGCAGTTATTTCACTCCTAGTTGAGCAGAGCGAAGATTCTCGTCCACACTGGCAGCACATCAGAATCACATCTAGAGTCACCACGGGGAGTTTCTACGAAATATCTCTGCAAAATGGTGCAGCTGCTTTGGAAAATGTCTGGCAGTTCCTCAAAAGGTTAGACATAAAGCCACCATGTGACCCAGAAATCCCACTTCCTAGGTATATTCCCAAGAGAAATAAAAACAGATGTGCACACAAGCACTTGTATACATTGTTGTTTAGCAGAATGATTCATAAGAGCCAAAAAGTAGAATCAACCCAAATGTCTATCAGCTGATGAATGGATAAATAAAATACACTACCTTCACACAATGGAATATTATTTGGCAATAAAAAGGAATGAAGGACTGATTCATGCAACCTAGAAAACATGATACTAAGTGAAAGAAGCCATTCACAAAAGACCACATATTGCATGATCCCATTTATATGAAGTATCCAGAATAGGTGAATTTACAGGGACAAAAAGAATATTAGTGGTTGGCTGCCTAGGAGTAGGGGAGTTGGAGGACATGGAGAGTGACTGCCGAAAATAGTGGTAATGGTCACACAACTATGAATAATATACTAAAAACTACTGGATTGTATACTCTACGTGGGTGACCCATATGGTCTGTGAAATCTATAAAGCTGCTTTTTAAAAATTACCTCTGGAGGGTGGGGTCCCTGCATCAGCATTTTTTAAAGCCTCCAGATGAGATTAACTGGCTGTCAGGGCTGAGAACTCCATTCTCTGCCTGTTACTCTAGTGGTTGGTTCTGGGGCCCAGGCAGGGAGGCAAGTAAGCTGACGGCTCAGCCCACTCCATCTGACAGCGTGTGGGGAAGGCCTGGGGCTGACTCAACGCTCACTCACCCCAGGAGAAAGTTCCTGGAAGGGAAGAGTGTCTGCCAGGATGACCGAAATGTCCACACCCCCGGGGCCACAGCAGCTGTGGGGTTTCATATTTAGTTCTGGCTGCAAGCAATTCAGAAAGAATTGCCTGTCTGCTCTGCATACTTTGGGGAGATGGGTGGAAGTTTTGCTCCCCCTAACCTACCACACCTTGTCTCTACATCCTTCAAGTAATTTTTAGCATATCTGAGGGGGAGGGGAAATGTCTTGAAGAGCTAACCCAAACACTCAAAAATTGGAAGAGAAACGCCAAAACCAGAAAGCATCTGCCTTTCTGACCCTTAGAATGTGTTTGCCAGAAAAAAGAGGCTGTGCCTGCCTTCCTTACAATCATACTGTAGAGACAGTGGGAAAGTGAGAGCTGATGAAGGTATTTAAGATAGCTCTCCACGCTACAGAGCTGTGATTCCCTCAACTGTCACCATGTGAACTGGCGCCTTGATCCCTTTAACACCCCAGTATCCTTTTTTTGATCCTCTTCCCTTTGTTAAGTCCTTCTCGAAGTGTCAGCATAGATGGATCCAGTGATTCGGAAGTGTGTTTCTGTGCAGGGTGGGGAAGGAGAACCATCCACAAACACCAAAGCCTCTAGAATCAGGAAAGTCCCATAGATGTTGAAGACTGGAGAGAGCATGCCTCACCCAAAGGGATTGCATCTCAAATTTTTCAAAATCAATACGCTAGTCAAACACAATATGATGCATTTGGCCTACGGGCTGCCAGCACACTATCCTGGGGCAGAGGGCTTGGGGCCCCCTGCTCAGTGTGGACAGAGGACTGCTATTAACACACCTGGGAGCAAATAACTCCTTTGAACTCAGGTCACAATGACATTCCCCAGTCAAATAAAATTCGATTAAAACCCTAACCCCATCCCTACCTGCTGGCATGAACTAAGGCAGGTATCTTCAACCCTGAGCTTGAATACATGATTGTTTTAAACTGGAATTCAGGACTATACATTTATTCTTCAAATTCCATTCTATTTCTTTCAGCAAGTTATCCCCAACTGCTGAAATATTTTTGACTCTGGATTCAGCTCCCAATACATTTGCTTTCCGTTCCATGTCATCTCAACGTTTAAAAAACGCCTTTTCTATTTCTGCATGAGAAGAAATGATCTTCCTTGCTGTTGCTATGTCCTATTATATTTACAATGTATATAAAATATTTTTCCATAGTATTCAGGAATTGATAGGATTCTAGAAGGTCTCCTTGTGGCACAACCTGAGGGAAGACATCATAGAGAATTAAGCCACTTAGATGGGTCTAGTCCACCAGAGAATAAGTTACTAGCAGGAGTTAACCTGAGACAGAACAGCTCAGGAAGATGGAGGCTGTCATTGGGACGACAGCCACTGTTAAGACCCACTGCTAGCATAAATGGTCAAGCGAGGCTGAGCTTTACCCCAAGAGAGAACCATCCTTAACAATATCCAGTGACCATGCTGGGGATGGACCAGATGGGAATGAGGGTAGAACTCCTAGAGATTTGGAGCCAGAAGGCCTTCCAAGAATGGCAAGGAGCTACCAGCAGAGTGAAGAGATTTCTAAGTTCAGAGATGCACATTCCAGGCCGGGCACGCCCATAATCCTAGCTCTCTGAGAGACTGAGACAGGAAGATTGCTTGAGCTCAGGAGTCGGAGACCAGACTGAGGAAGACTGAGATCCCCATTTCTACCAAAAATACAAAAATTAGCCGGGTGCTGTTGTGCACACCTGTAGTCCCAGCAACTCAGGAGGCTGAAGCAGGAGGATCACTTGAGTCTAGGAGTTGGAGGCTGCAGTGAGCTACAATGATGCCACTGCACTCTACCTGGGGCAACAGAGCAAGACTCTGTCTCAAAAAAAAGATGCACATTCCACATAAAAAAACCATAGATCCCTGCTGGATGGCTGTATGGTAAAAAATCATCACAAGCCAGACACAGAGGGTGTTATCATTCACGGAGCTGACACCAGAAAGCAGGTTCTGGAGCAGAGTATGAATGCCACCAGGCCAAGTAACTGAGAAATCCAAACCTCCCTTAGGGTAGAAATGCATGCAATGGCTTCATCTACCTTCCAACCCAGATAAAGAGAAGGAACGTAAAAGAAACCTGGCACCATGCACAGCAGGGCACATGATCCAAGCCTGGGTAAGGCTGGGCTTTCTTAGGATAAGAAACCAGTGCTTTATAAAAAAGTTTCATATTTTTCTGTTTTGTTGCCTAGTAAACTTCCTTTTGAAAGATATGATACTTGATTCAGCTGAATGTCAGGGAAAAGGGATTTGATGACTCCTTGGCCAAGATAATCAGGGAGTTCACAGGAATTTACGATGAGGTGTAATGAGGGCGGCTGTGGTTCCAGGTGGGGGAGAGAGCTGGTGGGTCTGGTACCGGCATGTAAACATATGAGACAGGAGGCTCAGGGAGAGGTGATTGCTTCTCCTGTCCTACCACAGAGGCCACTGTGCGAGAAACCACTGGCCAGTTTGACAAAGACACTTTAGACATTTCCTTTGGTTTTACTGTTCAACTAGGCACAAATCATCCATGTAAGTATTTAGCCCCTTATTCCCTATCTTGTCCACAAGGACATAAAAAGTAACTACCTAATATCTTTTTGCAATAAAGATCCACTCTATTAGTAAAGTTCCACTATTGGACTGTTAATTCTACCACAAAAAGAAATGGATTTGGGGCACATCTTGTACATGGCTAACCAATCCTGGTTCCTAACGATCCTTGGTTTTTTTCCCCTGCATGTTCCCAAAGATCTGCTTAATAACTTTCACAAGAACTCATGCTAACCTCACTGCTCTGAAGTTTCCAGAATCCACTGTTTTTTTTCCTACTTGAAAGCTAAGACATTTACCTGTCTTAACTCTTCTGTCACCTCTCTTATTCTTCATGCATTTCTAGATTATTGGCTAAGGAGGCAGTTATTTTATGTGTTTGCTAAACTGGTCAGAATATGGATTTGGTTCTTATCTATTTAAAAAAAAAAAAAGAACCCCTACAGGGGCCAAGTAAGTGAGAGAAATAAATGAAGAAGGCCACGAAGAGGCATAAGATGGCACTGAAGTGGCAAGGACCACCACCCTGGCCACACCACCCTCTGCCACAGAGGCAGCCACGACCCAGCTCTGCCAGCCAACTACTGTCAATAATATGAACCCAGTGTTGCCACATCTTTCCACTCTGCAAGAAAAGTCGGAAATCTGGATCTTTCTGAGATCACCTGAGTTGTGAATTCTTGCAAATAACTGAAATTTTAAAAAAGCACTGTCAGATCAAATTAAATATACATCTAGCCTAAGGGCCGCCAACTTCTGCATTTCAAGGCCGAACAG